TATGGCATTAGCTGGCAGTGACACATGCACACATAAAGCATGTCGTCTTCATCATTCTGTAAAAAGTTTTTTACAGAAATTAAAAACAGAATTTTGCCCCAATTTTTCTCCCGAAAATGGCGTTCGCTTCTTCCACTGTTTGTGAGTTGCAATGGAGCTCATGACCTTAGGTTCCCTGAGCACACTCCGGTTGATCTGTGGTGTGACAATAAGGCAGCTCTCCATATCACGGTTAATCCGGTGTTTCACGAGAGAACAAAGCATTTGGATATAGACTGTCATGTTGTGCGGAACAAATACAAGGAAGGTTTCATTTGTCCTCAACATATATCCACCTCTTTGCAGCCGGCCGATGTTCTTGCCAAATCACTCGGAGGAAAGGAGTTCAGAGCTTTTTTGCTCAAGTTGGGAATGATGGAGTGCCCTCACATTCCCACTTGAGGGGATTGCTATGCTATTACTTGTTTTCTTCATATTATGGTTGCTTATTCTCTGATTAGCTCATGTTTTAGTTTTCTGTATTTTCTTTCTGTTGCCTAAGAACCAAAAACGGGTTTCTCACTTGTAGAAACTAGTTGCATTTTTTCTTTTATGTGCAAAGTAGCGGGGCACATGTAATTCTGCAATTGGCCATTATGGAGTAAACTAAATAAAACCTATAAAACCTGCTACTGCGAGATTAAAGATTTTGAGAAAACATGGAGGAACAAGATGGCGTTCCAAATATCGCACCAGCGAAAGAAATTTGGTCCGAAAAAAATATCGAAATGGATTCAATGTGTTTGGAACCAATAATAGAGGATGATATTTTTAATGAAGTTGGTAAAAAAAATGGAGCCTAGAAAGAAAAACCCTACAGAGCAAGTTTTTCAAAATTTCTTTCATTGTTTTTATTTTTCATCGTAACTATGCTTGGAGGGTTGAGTTGCATATTTCTTTTGTTTACTAAGGTGACGGGAAAAAAAAATCTGACTATAATTTATTGTTTTTGTGTTTTATTGATGTTATAGTTAATATATGTATTTGTGTTGTATACTTTTTTTTATTTTTTTTGCTAAAATTCTATGTGCTTACTTATTTGTAGGAGAAACATGTGTTCTGCTAGTTGTGTGAAAGATGTTGTTTTAGAGTATTTTTAAATATAAAATTTTAATAACTATTTTTTTATTGATAGTTTCATGTGTTTGTTACAGTTTACAAGCATTTCAAGAAGAAGATGAGACTGAGGCTATTTCATGGGAAATGCATTCCAAGAAGATGTTTATGCTATGTTTCCTCTTTTTACTTGCAGCACCTGCTGCTTAGTTCCTTAGTGTTGGTG